TACTTACCGTTGATAGCCGCCTTTGGAGTCTTGAAGCCCAGACCAATCTTCTTGGAGTAGCGGATGTGGCCGCTCATGTTGACGTGCTTCTTGTTTGGGTTGTGGCTGTTCTCATTGACCGCCGTCTGACGCTGGTAGGCCTTCTCATGCTGCAGAGTCAAGTCGACGGAGTGCACGCGGGCGTACTGTTCCGGGGCTGTCATTGTGGGCATGACTACTGAGCTCTACTGATCAAGAAAGAAAAAAAAAAAAATCAACAAACACACACACACACACACAAACACACAAATTCAGAGAAAAGAAACTGAGTTGAAGGAAGAAGAAAAATACATGCACTCTCAACTACTCATGCGTGCATAGAAATACTTGCATAAATAAACGGAAGTCCCAAAAACAGACCATCAAAGAATTGCGTGCAAGCACAATTTATACAAATGCACAAAAGTCTTGGGGTTTCCAACCACGGTGAGAACTATGTGCGTGCATTTGTCTGTGTGTGATGTGTGATAATCTTTCGGGGCCTTACAGCTGGTGTGGGCCTTGTGTGCATCCGGGGATTTTAACAAAATCGTCAAACTCGTAGCGCTTCTTGTCGGGGCAGCACTTCCAGTATTTGTAGGTGTCCCAAAAAACCGGCCCCCCGGTGTGATGCCGACACGCTGTCGGATGATTCTCACTCACAACAAATTCCTTCTGGCAGCCGTAGTTACGACACCGCGCCTTACCGTCCACAATCTCCTGCGGCGGTTGCCGCTGCGCTTCCGCCGCCCCTTCAAATTCCCTCGGCCCAGTAGTACGAGATGCCGCGGTGTTTTCATCTCTATGCGTCAACGCCTGCACCTGTTCTACCGATAAGGGTGTGTTGGAAGGAGGCGGGCTGACAAAAGACACCGGTCTCTTCTCTGTGCTGTGGGGGCCCACACAACACGGGGGGATGGCCTTGAAATCGTCCCAGTCGCGTGCGCGCTGCGTCGGGCAACACCGCCAATACTTCTCAATGTCGTGGAAGACAGGCGGTTCCGCATGGTAGTGGCATGCTGACTCGTGGTTCTCCGCTTGAAGAAAAAACTCTCCACATCCAAAGTTTGTGCAAAGGACCGAAAATGGTTTCTGCTCATGCAGCACGGACTTCGCCAAATGCCGGATGTGCACGTCATTGTACTCATGGATGCGTGTTTCTACCACATCCGATGGCTTCAGCTCCACGTTGCCGCACCACAAACTGAGCTCCTCAGCCAAAAGGGGGTTGTCAGGATGCTTCTTGTTGTAAGTCGAAGTTATGAAACAACGCAGCTTTTCGCACGGTCCGTTGAGCCAGCTTGCGGGAATGTCCATCTTCACCTTGAAAACCTCCGTCAGACTGTCGTTCACCACGCACCCATTCACATCCTTCCCTTCGTAGATAAAGTACACCTTCATGTCCAATGTTGTTGTCGCTTTTGCTAGCCTCAACGGCGCATCCAACGGAGTGAGGCAAAAACGTGTGTGCACATGTAAGAGAGAAGGAAAGATGCATATAATAATAATAATAATAATAATAAAGAAAAAAAGGTGCAGGGAAAACACATGGTAACATGCAATTTATCTTCCCTTCAATTAAATAAAGGCTAACAAAAAAAGGAAACTTGGCACATCTAAGAACTAATGAAAGACGCCGAGTCATGAGCAACAATACCAAAAAAGAAAAAAAGAAAAAAAAAGAAAAAAAGAAAAGAAAAAAGGGGAAGTCGTATGAAAAAAAGAAAGTTGTGTCTTCTTTTCCTTCTAGTTTTGCTTCTTCTGTTTTTTCTAGTTCCGCGACGAGTGGGACGTTTGGACGTTTATGTAGGATGCGTACATAGGTGTATGGACAGGTTTACTGGAAGCACCCGTGGCCGTCTGCCGCTGTGATGCCGCGTCTCGGCGGCGGGGCATGTTTACCGTCGGTGTGTAGTGCGAGGCTGAGAGTTCCAACGGAGGTGTGGCCTCCATGTCGTGATGCGTCGGCACGGGAGGGGGAGGCCGAAGAATTGGTGGCATGGACTCCGATCGCATCACCTGCTGCAGCAACAGATTCGCTCTTTTGGCCTCCTCCGCGGCACGCTTCGCCTCCCTCACGCGCTCTCGCCTGTCCCGCAGCCATACTTTGTATTCCGCGATTTCCGCCTCCGACATGATGCCGTACTTCGGCAGTGCGTTGCAAAGGTACACGGCGGTGCCAAAAAGGTACACAAAGTACCCGACGCTAGCAAACAAAAAAAGCGGCACGAGGCTGCAGAAGGGCAGGTACGCATCAGAAACAAGTCCGCAGTGAGTCAGGTATTCCTTTAGAAGTCCACCCGAGACGTTCGCCATGAGGCTCGTCCGAAGCACGAGAGAAATCATCACAATCTCGAAAGCTGAAAGAATGTCTTTTCGAAGTGTAAAGTTCCTCCAACTGACACTGAAAAAGTTGTGCTCGACTGACGATCGGTTCACCACGCCCAGCAGCAGTGCAAAGCCGCAAAAAAAGATCGCCAAAAACATTTGAATGGCGTGGTCCGCGAAGATGTCGTCTGTATTTTTAATTGAGAGCACCAAATGAACGTTCCTAAAGGCGTAAAGATTTCTTTTTGTCACATCAAATCGGCAATTACGCGTCTTTAAAATCAGCGCGGGGACTAACTGAAGCGGGTTCCGCAGCCACACGGAGTTGACAAATGTGCGTTTGCTGGCAATCAGAAAATTCGTCGTATAAATCAAGAAACATACGATCTGCACAATGGTGGCGATATCGTGCAGGAACATGATACGCTTCTCAGACTTCAGGCGGCCCCTATTGGGACGCCGCTGAAGATCGCTCACAACGTGCATGCGCTGCTGCTGCTGCTGCTGCTGGCCGTCAGCTCCCTTTCAGCACGATGCAAAAAAGGCTACAACACACACACACACACACAAACAGACAAATGTAAATAGACACAGACAGAGATGGATAATAAGAAGTAAAGAAAATCCGCATCAACTCGCCATTGCGGCAAGCGGGGCCGTTATTGTAGGCACCGTGGCAAAAAAGACCCGTCCACACAAAAGGTAAGAAAAAAGAAAAACAAAAAACAAAAAAGAAAAAAGAACAAAAAACAAGCCAATACGATAGCGGCAAAAAGACGCCATACAAACACACATGTACGCACAACATTAAAGGAGCGGGAATGTGAGAAAAAAACAAAAAGACAAAAAAGAAAACCACCCGAGAAAAAAAAAAAAGGTCATTGCAAAAGTGAGCACAAAAGCCTCTGTAAGATTCGCATCCCCCTCTCGGCTTCACTTGTGAATAAAATCAGAATCAGGCATAATAATAATTTTAATAATAATTTTAATAATAAATTTAGCCGCGATGCTTAAAAAGAAAAGACAACACGTTTTTTGGCGTTTTTCTGCGCGTCCCCTCGCAAATTGACGAGCACGACGACCGCGGCGAAGGTGCCACTGTCCGGTATGTCGGCTCCGGCGACGACCCACGTTCATCGCTGACTGCCGTCTCAGTGAATAGCGGGCCACATGGGGTGCAGTCACCCACATGCCGCAGTACGCTTTGACCTCGCACGTACTTCAAGCAGTAGCCCTGCTGGGGTCCAACGATGCGGCACCATGTGGTGACATCGGGCAAGCAGTCTTTGGTCTTAGCTGGGCTTTTCAAAGAGAGTCTACGCCCAACACTCTGCGAGAAGCTGCGCCGTCTGGACGTCGCTTTGGAACGCACCTCGTTGGACACAAAAACATGATCGCCAAAATGAAAAGTTCCAATAATTTTTGCGTCCAACCGCGGCTCTGCAAAAACAGTTACGGTGTAGTCCTTGTGACATGCAAAGAGACAAAGTGCACCACGAAGTGGTTTGCTGCGCCACGGGCATTTTAACAAAGCATCTGAGAAAAGTGGCAAGTTAATCAGTTGACGCACGGAAGGCCGTGAGAATGGCCGCTTTGTCAGCATTGACATAACGAGGTCACCCAGTTCCTGTGAGTAGCGTACCCGGGATTTTCCCGCTGGGTGCGGTGGCTCCAAATTCGTAATCGACACCCGCAGAGCGGCAATGTCATCGCCAACAAAAGGCTGAAAATTCGTCATCATGCGGTAGAACACAACACCGAGACTCCACACATCGCTCCCATAACCACAAAGTCCCTCCGCGATGGTCTCTGGTGACATAAAGAGTGGTGTTCCAACAAACATGGAAACATCCACCGCATCATTAACGCTGAAGAACGCGCTGAGCCCAAAATCGGCCATCTTCAGCGTTGGTATCCGACTACTTCCGGCGCCCAGCAATATGTTTGTCAGCTTCAAATCACGGTGAATAACCCCCTTCGTGTGTATGTGCGCCAGAGCAAGTAAACATTGAAGGAAAAGGTAAAGCAACATCTCCTCACTAAGAGGGTAATTCTGCTGCAGATAAGCCTCCAGGTCGCCCCACGGGCAGTATTCCATCAGAAAGCATACAACGCCTTGACAATCCTCGTACCACGTGTCGAGGAGACGCACAATACCGTCATCGTTGAATCTTGACATGACTCGTGCCTCGGTCAAGGCAGCCTGCATTTGCTGCTGCGCCAAATTGCCCTTCTTCTCCTTTTCCTCCCTCTTCCGGAAGCGCTTCACCACAGCCCGTGCACCAATTAGATTACGATCCTCCACGAGAAGGACTTCCCCAAAGGAGCCACGGCCCAACGTCGTAAGGACTTTTAACTGTGTCCCCAAGAGTTGACGACGCGGTAATGTGTTCTTCTCCAGGAACTCAACAAAACCGGAGGCCCTCTCCATGAGGTTTAGAAAAATTACTTGATTATTATTTTTTCTCTCCCCCTTTTCCAGCGATAAGAGTCACACAAGCAAAGGAGAAGAGCAGAAAAAGGGAGACATAGTATACCCGATCCAAAACAAACAGCAGCCACATTCATGTATAAAACATGTGTATTTGCGTATTTGCAACACGCAACGCCCTGAAAAAAAAAAAAAAAAAAAAAAAAAACAATCAAGAAGACTTTCATCCATCAACGGTTCTCTCCAAGGAAAGATTTGTGCCGTACAGAACTGCGGCGCACCCCGTGAGAAATGGCAGCTTACAGGCACGCCTTGCTAATGCGAGAGCCTCTCCAACGGTCCGCGGAGGGAGTAATGAAGCACCATCACCATCATTAACAGCTTCTCCTGCAAGCAATAATAGGAGTCGTTTTGTCAATCGATCAATTTCACCATCGGTCACATGCCACAGACATCCCAGAAACAATGGACATCCCGCATGTAAAAAGGCGTAGGGCATACCGTACGAATCATATGAGGCGCCACCCTCCATATACGCGCTGCTGCAGCCCATAAGGAAGACAGCAGGAAACTCGTCTGGATCAGGAAGCCGTTCATACAGTTCTCCGCGGTGTAGGAAGCGTTCCCCTTTTCCGTGCCCGACATAAACATAAGCTTTTGCACGATATGAGTAAAGCTCGTGCATAAGCTCGCCGCATGGCACAGACTGCGTACTTGCCTTCCATCCAGTTCTCCGGCAGACAGGGAGAAGACGTTTTGATGTCTTTGGCATGTCACCAGCGGGGTCAATGACACAATACACTCCGCCGTCACAAATATCTAATGATTCTGCTTTACTAGTGGAAATGAATGTCGATGTTGGAACACGGGCAACATTTCCGGCCAACAGGACATCCATGCCCTCAAGTGGAAGAGCATGAAGTTCATTGTCCAATACAAGGTATAAAGAGGAGCGCGAAAGAGAAAACAGATCCAAATGCCCCAATTCCGACTCACATGCAACTGAAATCGCTTTACACATCTTTGCTAGTGCGGAGAGGCACGCTCCACGCAAAGCAGAAAGAAGACCAGTTGAAGGTGCAGCAATGCCATTTTTGAGAAGCTCAATTTCCAGCGCCTCAGAGAGATTGCACAATACCTCATCACACGAGGCACATTTGCCCTCCGCACTTCCGTGGGACGGACTAAATAACAATTTGCCTCCGGCGCAACAGCGCGTCCCCAAGAAGGGAAGTCCAGCCAAAATCAGCGTCAGGTCCAACACATGGTGCGCGGGTGCGCCAATGTCATGAAGCAATTGGGCGGCCACCTGTTTCAGCTCTAAAAGACAGGAAGGGGACAAATCACCGCACATCGCCACACGCCAGCATCCAAAACACTCGTCGGATTGCAGCTTCTCGACAACCTTTCGCATTGCGCTGTCGAACGCGTGTCGCTGCTCCCACCACTCAGCTCTCGCCTTTCTGCTTTGCCTCTCCACCTCACTGTTGCTGAATGCTTCCGTGGCGTCGGAAGGCGCCTCCATCTTCTCCTTCCCCAACAAAGAGACCTCCTTGTTGTAGAGGGCAGCTTCAAGGTGCCGCCGGTTCTGCGCCTCTATTTCACGCATCCTCGCCACCATTTCCAGCAAAGTCCTTCCAACTGGCAAAACCTTCTCCCACACCGTCATCCCCTCCACACTGCTGCTACGGCTGAGTTGCACACCCTCATGATCGCTTGTCAAAAGCACCTGCAGCTGGCAATGCGAATGAACATTTTCTCTCGTGTGAAAAGTGCCGCAAAATGCATCAAACACACGACGCCGCGAAGAAAATGTGCGTCCCGCAACTACTGATTTCGTTTGCCGATACGGCGGTGACATTCCGGAAGAGCGGGGCAGAAGCACTGGGAGTAGGACGCGGGTAACAGCCGTCCAGTATCCATCCGTATCATCATAGTGGCAGCCCTGTGCAAAAGCAGCAATCGCATGTAAAGTTACAAGAATATTTGCCTGTGACGACATCCGCTCACAGATGCCCGCCACAAGAGGAATAAAACACCTTGCAAGTGGCAGATCCCCCTCATCCACTAAGAAGACGATCAGACGCGAGAGTCCATCAAGGACAAAAGAAGGAGCAATTTTGTCTCGCAGTATTTGATGACCAATCGTTCTGTCGCCACGGATCATCGTCAATCCCGCCGGCAGCTTATCTTCAACCGTCTGTGATGACGCAAGGATCCGCAGCACGTCTGTGGCACGCCATTCCTGAGCAATTTCATGCAGTAGCGGGCACGGCACTCCGAAGTGTACATGCGTGGAAGCCCGCTCTCGTGGTGCACATTCTACACCTGCACCGTCGCTCCCCACCGCTCTGTTAATAAGGCACTCCAGTTCAGTCCCCCATAGCAGCAACGAGTCATCGCCCAAACTTGGCGCCGACCCCGTTCGAATAAGCTCTATTGCGATGTCAGCATAGCGATGCCGTTGCGCAATGGACACCACACTAGAAACTGAAGCAAAGGGGAAGCTTACGGAAGAGTTGCACCCTTCCCTTCCAGTATAATGCTTCAAGAAACACGCCACACGAATCGGGGTAAAATCTTCTCGGGGGACGCAAAGATCTGTACTTGCTGCAGCGTCTCTAAGAAGAGTGGCCTCTTGGGATGACATTTGAAGTGGCCGTCGAAAATCTATTAGATAGCACGTCTTCTCCGTGGCAAAAGACTTCCTCAAGATACTCATAGCGCCGGAGGCACGACGTTGCACCTCCTCCTGAGATGCATGGAGAAACGCGCACCCCTCAGCATACAAATTCATACAGAGACGGTCCCACTTTGCCACCACTTGGGGGTCATGAAGACCCACGCGCACGCA